CCTTTTGTTTGTCTCTGATGTGTGGATTATGTGATTTAAGATTGAATGCATACTTGATTTATTTCTGAATTTATGAAGAATCTTAACTCTTCTTTAGAGTCACTGTTTGGAGCCATAAAGTTTTATATCCCTTAAATGTGCTTAGAATTTTGTTAAACATGCTTTGCCTAGGTTTCTAAAGAGTAATTTATGTCAATTTGGAGTGCTTTATGATTGGTTGTTTCAGTAAGCTTATCATCCGTGACACTTTATCTTATGTGTTTTAATTATCCACTGTTCTTTTAATTATACTAGCCATGTTTACTTGCTCTTATCTAGGATCATCTGATACGCTAGTGTTACAATGATTTTTTGTGGGCATGGGAAAATGGAATTGTTCTTCATTAAATTCAAACTAATGTTTAATAGTTGTTAAAATCGTGGGCTTGCTTACGTCAACCATGAATTATTGAATGTGAACTTTTTCCGAAATGAGTCTTCCTTCTACTATTATTCCAATATTTTTTATTGGAACCTGCTGATTTTTTTAGAAGGAAGGATTCACATATGTACCACATAATTCTCATGGATTTATATATCCAGTATCCAAGTCTTAGAACCAACTTGTATGTCAATCATATGTACTTGTATGCCTAATACCTAAGCTTTGTTTTACATACATGCCACTCAATTGCTATGTGCTTGCATATCTATCACATTAGCTTCAATTTTTACGTGCATACTATACAATGCTTATATTCTCTGCATATGTGGAACCTAAGCTTTATAATCACACAACTCTGATCTTTAATTCTACGAAAGAGGTACTTCTATTTCTTAATGTGAAATGTATCTTTTCATGCTTAGGATTTATATGCTAATTTGGAAATAATTTGGGCATCATTTTGGAACAATTTTGACACTGTTTTGGGGTGCTTTAGCTTGCTGATTTAGAGAGGTTTACAACAATGTTTTGAGGCTTACACAATAGTCTGATTTTAACGCACTGTTTTGGAGTCACTTTAGGTGCAAATTTGAACTGATTTTATGCACTGTTTTGGAGCTACTATAGGTGCTGATTTGGGTTGATTTCGATCGTTGTTTTAGAGTCACTTTATGTGTCGATTCAGGCCGATTTTGTGCATTGTCTTGGAACAAACTTAAGTACTCTTCTTGAGAGTCTATTGAATTACAGTTGTTGAAAGATTTCACATGTTTTTAGGTTGATTCACTTACTATTTCCTCTTTTGATTTATTAGTTTTGAAAGTGGATCAACCTTTTCTTTTCGTTTGTTTTATTTATTTTTAAATGGTTAAGTCATAAAGATGAGGATTGATGATTTAATTAATTAGAAGATATAGAAACCTTAAATCACCTTAAACATAAGTTAAAGAGTAGGTTTCCTAGAGTTTTAGGAGCACACACCTTAGGTGAGAATCCATCCACCTAGTCCTCAGTGTAGACCTCTTAGACTTTAGGTGTACATCCTAGGTGAGAGCTCATCCGCCTAGTCTTCATTGTAGACCTCTTAGACTTTAGGTGTACACCCTAGGCAAGAGCCCATCCACCTAATCCTCAGTGTAGGCTTTCTAGAGTTTAAGTGCACACTCTAGGTGAGAGTCCATCCACCTAATCCTCAATGTAGGTTTCCTAGATTTTAGGATTACACCCTAGGTGAGAGTTCATCCACCTAATCTTCAGTGTAGGTTTCCTAGTCTTTAGGAGCACACCTTAGGTGAGAGTCCATCTACCTAATCTCTGCAGTGTAACCTTCCAAGGTTTTAGGAACATACCTTATGTAAGAGCATATTCACCTAATCCTCGAATGCACAGTAAAACTAAACACTTGACCCTGATTCACAAACTGATCAAGACACTTGACACTAGGATGCACCGAGACATAGTTCATGCTTCCTTAATTAAATCAACAGTGAAATTCCCTCAATGACTTAACCTACAATGAAACCCAGTGCATCAGGATTTGAGCTTGAATATTACAGTCTAATCCTCCTGGTAATTGGGAAAATTTTTTAATGCCACATATGGATCATGAAACTAGGATAAGTCTAAGGTTTACGTGACGAAGGCGATAACGACATTGTTTATGTGTGCTTAAACAAGGGATACGAAGTGAGATTATTAGAATATTATCTCCTACCTCAAGGATCTTCAATAAGGGAGAGGGAAGTATCAATGATATTATTCGCCGATTCTTGGCGGGATCGTTGCCCCCGACACTCTTAGATTGTCAGTAGTTCTAGCACAATTAGAGTGACTAGCTTGTGGACTATACAATTTTACAAAAATATTTACAAAAATAAAATAAAAATCCCGTTTGCATGATTAAAAGAACTCTGTATAAAAAAGACTTAAATAATAACTTTTGCATGAAAATCTTTCTACAAAAATTTATAAAGGTCCACGGCTAGTCACTTAGATTGAGGTTAAGAACTGCCTTCTGTAGATTGTCGGGCCAGTAACTCTTGTTCAAGGTCGGGAAGCACACAGCCCAGCTCTGAGCCCCCCACTTTTACCAATGTTTTATACCTAGTCCTGAGCTGTCATATGTGGTTACAGGTTTTTTTTGCTCGTGATTTCTACTACTCGTTTTTTTATGACTTTCATGCAGGGTTTTCTTGCCTTATTTTTCTTGCAAGTATGTTTAAATATGTTGCAAATCATACTATGCTCACAACATTAATAACGCAACAGTAGCAGATGCCAATGTATTAGCAGCAGATGCCCAAGTGTGCTTTTACAGTTTATCTACAACATTTTAGTTTTATTGCATTTTACCTTTCAAGTATCTTTTATTTACTTGCAATTTGATTATTCTGCATGCAAAATCAGTTCTAAAACCAAAATCGAAATAAAACAAAGCCAAAACATTGACACCAAAACTTTGAAGCGTAAACTACTAATCTCAAGCACTTAAACCATGGAGTTGTCGCGATGACAGGAGCTAAATTCAAACCGAGAAGCAAGAGGATCTTCTTCAACATTATCCCTTCCTAGTATAATAACAACTCATAGGACTTCGAGGTAGCTCGCCTAGCGCGATGTAAATCCTCACACTCCTTTTTTAGGCTCCTGTACAACCATGTT